GGAGGACAGAAGCCAGCAGAGCATACCGAGGCCAACTGCCCAAGCGCACGCGGTTCTCGAAGAAATTGTGGGACCAGCTGGCGGGGTTACTGTGAAGGCCTTAACCCTGCTGGACAGGGAAGTTGTCGAAACCCCTTGCGATAAGCCAAACCTCGTTACTAAGGATCCGAGACAGCACCAACCCAAGGCCAAACCATTGGGCAGATGCCATGCACCACAGATCGAGGAAGTGCCTGATGAGGATCTAACACAGGCTCGCACCGAAGATGTCCTGGAAGAGGGAATGAACGATGATGGGGAGGGATGGAAGGTAACAGAAGCTGAGCTGAATGAATGGCTCCGCGAAATGCAACGGATGCGCAGGGAGAAGAACTCAATCTCCGGCAACAGGAGAGGCGAAAGGTTTGGGAGAAGGAGGAAGAACAGCGGGATGTGGAGTGGGTTGCATGGCTGAGAAAGCAGCGTGCAGAACCCGGATTATGCAAGTGGTTTTTCTGGCGAAACCGCTTTAAGACTCTGGATCCTCCACGGAGGTTGCGTGTGGAATCACTGGGGGGAGGTAACGTACCCCCCTCGAGGGAAGTCTCCACAGACACGGACTCTACCAATAAATGCAGCATTGACCGTATTTCTGCAGAACCACGCTCCCAAAATGTGCTGAACCCCCGGGTGGATGCCACGTCAGAGGTAAACGGAGGGACAGGAGTGAGGAACAACATTGAACTTATGCCTAAAGGCTTGCGGGTGGACTCAGCGGGGGGGATTTGATGTGCCCCCTGTTAAGATCATGTACACCGTGTAACCGTGCCAAAGCCACAAGGTGTCTAAGTGCGGAAGACGAGTGGGACAGTAGTGAAGTTATTAACAACACCGCCGTTACGCCGTTAGTCCCCGGAGATCGAGAGTATAGAAGGGAGGAGCTGAGGAGCAGCCAAGTCGGAGCGGCGGTATCGCCGACGACGAGGAGCGGACCAGAGAACGTTCAAGTCCTAAGGCCGAGTAGGACGTACTTCAAGGCGTTGAGCCTGAAGACTTAGAGAAGAGCTAAGTTGGAAGGGAGATCTAAGTTGATAATTAAACTGAGGAACTACAGTAGCATACAGGCAATATTTATATCTACGGAACGGCGCAGCGGTGCGGAGCGCCAGTCTAACTACTAGGAGCTATACGAGTAGTACCTGCAGGGTAGAGTAAAAGACAATAAGGAGAGGCTAGAACAAAAGGGTATGTGTAGCGAGAAAGAACAATAAGAGTAAGATTACAATAAGAGTGGATCTTCAGAGTACCGAGCGGCGGAATGGAGGACCGAGGCATGGACTTGACACCCCCCTCGAGGGAATTCTCAAACGAAGATTCGCCTGTTAAGCCGCGACATGCTGACCGAACCCAGACAGCTCCCATATGTGTGCTCCAGCCTGATGGGAATCACCCAGACCAAGGCGACATGGGTTTCGATTTCTTTCCAGATGCATTGGACCAGAGCAATAACATTAACCTGTTCACGCGTAATGAAGGAGAGATGGGAGCATTTTGACCAGAGCGGGTGCAGGAAATCCTCCGGAAGGTCAAGATCAGCAAGGGCCTCTCTACTGACCAATGAACGCAGGTGGAGCAACTCTTAAGTGGGTATGCAGACTGTTTTGCGCTGTCGGTGGGTGAAGTCAGGCCAGTGAAGGGTGCAGTCCATCGTCTGAACATACCTGAGGGGGCAACCTTCCCGAAAAAAGGGAGGCAGAAATCTCTCACTCCACCCCAATGCAGATACTTGCATGCGAAGGTCGATGAACTCCTCGAAGCCGGTGTGATTGAGAGATGTAACCCAGAGGATGTGAAATGTGTTTTGCCATTGACGCTAGCACAGAAAGCCCACGAAGGGATGGGACTTACAGTGGAAGAGTTAATGTACAGGCTGAATGATGAGTGCGTGGCTGCGGGTCTTCCCGCATCATTTGATCTTCCCACTCGCCCAATGCAGCCTTCGGAGCCATCGGAGCACTCAGAGCCAGCTAAACCGGCAAAATGGAGAATCTGTCAGAACTTTATGGCAGTCAATAAACTCACCGAGATTGCGCCAATGCCCCAAGGAAACATCAGGTCTAAACAGCAGTCACTGAGCGGCCACACCTACATCTGCCTATTCGACTTCGCTTTGGGGTTTTACGCGTGCGAAGTGGAGCGGGAATCCCGTCCTTACACAGCATTCTATGTGGAGGGCAAGGGCTACTTCTGGTGTGAGAAGCTCCCTTTTGGTCTCACCGGAGCTCCATCAACTTTTGCAAACATGACCGCCCTCCATCTGGATGATTTGATTGCCGACGGTACCATCGAGCTGTTTGTCGATGATGGCGGTTCAGCGGACAATGACTTCGACAGCATGTTTGCAAAGCTCAGATGAATCCTAGACTGAGTACGCTCTTGAAACTTGTCTCTATCAGCCGCGAAGTCTGAGTTCTTCATGTCCGAGGGTATCTTTGCAGGAGGGAAAATCAGCAAGGATGGTGTTACAGTGGACCCAGCAAAACTCACCGCGATTGTTGAATGGAAGCAGCCAGAAGATGTGTTGAACCTTGTGTCGTTTGTAGGACTCACAGGTCATTTCAGAGACTTGATACGCAATTACGCCCGAATTGAAGGCCCCCTGCGAAATTTACTGAAGTCTGTTCCACTGCCACAGAATTCCACGAAATCTACGTACCGGAAAGCCATGGAATCGTTCAAACTCACTCACCGGTGGACCCTGGACCACACCAAAGCTTTCTTGGCACTGAAGAAGGCGCTGGTTACGGAGCCGGTTCTGAAGGCGCCCCGGTGGGATGGTTCCAGTTTCATCATGACCACCAACAATTGCAAGGAAGGCTTTGCTGCGGTGGTTGCCCAACGCTTCGAGGTGGTGCACCCAAATGGGACCACAACCTACAAAACCCACCCTGTAGGCTTTGCATCGAAAAGGACGTCGACCTCCAAGCAGAAATACAAGCCGTTCTTACTGGAATTTGCGGCGCTGAAGTTTGGGCTGGACAAATTTTTGGACATGATCTGGGGTTTCCCTGTCGAAATTGAGACAGATTGTCAAGCACTGCGGGACGTCATCGCCAATGACAAGCTGAATGCAGCTCACAGCAGATGGAGGGACGGAGTGTTAGCTCACCACATCGTGGACGTCAGACATATTCCAGGCAAGTTAAATGTGGTGGCGGATGGCTTGAGTAGAATGTGGGAGGGTCAGGACCGGGTGGTAGGTGATGGGAGTGAGTGGACTGTCAGCGAAGATTGGGAAGCCGTTACGGGGCTGGTCAACGATGTCTTTGGGGTGAGTACCGCTGACGGGATAATGGAAGACGCGGAGGTAACAGACTGGGGAGCCTTGTTGGAATGTTTTGTGGAAGAACCTGTGTTCTTGGAGGTAATAGACGCGCTGAAGATACTGGAAGATTCCACGGACGATAAGGCAAAGCAGAGAGCTAAGCACAAAGCCGCTCGCTACATGGTGGAAGGTAACAGACTGTGGAAGGTAGGTGGCAATAGAGGAATACGGGAGTGAGCGAGGGTGGAATGCATCACGTGAAAGGAGGCCATTGAACTAGCCAGGAAGCAGCATAGCAATGCAGGCCATTGGGGACGAGACGCCGTAAAGCTGGCACTAATGGACAGGATATGGAGCCCGAAACTGGTTGAGTCAGTCATGGAGGCCATTACCAACTGCCCGGAATGCAAGAACTTCGGCGCCGCCCACATCCACGCACTACTCAACCCCATCACGAGACGCCACCCATTCGAACTGCTGGTGGGGGATTATCTGTCAATGTCAAAGGGTAAAGGGGGGTACAAGACCGTAGGCTTGTACCTAGATACATACTCCCAACGCATATGGGCCTTCAAATTCAAGGTCGCAGGTTCAGGAGCCACAACAACGTCTAGCCTAACTTCCCTGTTTAACGGATACCTCCCGCCCGAAACATTCATGACCGACAATGGGTCGCACTTTGCTAACAAGGAGGTAGAAGCGCTATGCGCCGAATGGGGTACCAAACAACATCTCACACCGGCGTACTCACCTTGGGTCAATGGCTTAGTGGAAGGCACCAACAAAATACTACTGCACGTTCTGAAACGTCTGTGCGCGCTGAAGCTGGGTGAAGACTCGGAGGAGTTCAAGGAAATGAACTGGGAAACGCTCCTGGAGAAATGGCCGGAATACCTTGACGAAGCAGTGCGGATCATCAACAACCGTATCCTGCCGTCAGTCAAGTTCTCCCCAAACGAGCTCCTTCTGGGTGCGGTGGTCAACACACGTAGGACTCCAGTCATAGAAGCTACCTCGATTCTTCAACCACTACAGGTGGAAGTTCAAACGGCTTATGTGGAACAACAGCAATTGGATGGGTACGGCTCATTCGTGCGTCACGCAGTGAGGCGGAAGAGGGTATTCGATCGAAGAGTGTTGAAGAAAGAGGGAAAGGAGGTGGTTTTTGAAGAGGGTGCCTTAGTACAGGTCTATCGTAGCGATCTCGACTACACTTTCAAAACTATCAAGAAGATCATTCCGAAATGGTCTCGGCCCTATCGAGTCGTAGCACGGAACGTTAACTCCTATACATTACAAACAACCGACGGACAACTGATCAAAGGTAAACAATTTGCGGGACGGAGGTTGCGCGAGTTCAAACCTCAGATGGGCACGAAGCTAGCTAGGGAGCAGCAGGAGGTGATACGGAGGAGGGAGGAGTCCAGGGCCGGAGTGTAGGCAACAAGGGCGCCGCCATTTTTTAAGTGGGGGCACATGGAGTAGGGGATCTAGGAGTCTGCTATCTAATCAAGTATCTTATCTATTATCATGTTGGTATCTGTTTGTTTGTAGAGTACAGTAGGCATACGGTAGGGTAGACGAGGACACAGAGACACACAATCAGTCATTCACATTAGCTTCAAGCCAGATAGTCCAGTCCAACAAGCCTCCTCTGTCTTATACAACTCATCATCATTGCCAGTAAGGTCAATGGCTAGATTGGTGACAGATCAAAAAGGGGGGGCAGATTGGGAGAAGGGGGAGGAGGGGAAGGGGATGTTGGCGACTCCTGCTCAGGCAGGAACAGAGGGACCTGTGGGTTGGAACCAACAGAGGGGGAGGACACCAGGGCAACTAGCGCTTCAAGGGACTGCTCGACACTTACCTCACCCAACGATTTGGTAACTGGCTCCACCGACAACATGGGAGCTTGGGTATCTGGGCCAGACAATGGGGTATTGGTGATGTGGTGGATATATTGTAACATTAACTGCTCCCAATCAGCAGTCAGCTGGTCAATACTGGGAAGGGCGGGAACGATATCGTCCCACCTCCCAGCGCCGCCACTATGAAGGAGAGCTGTAGACAGCGCTAACATTTGCCGGTGAAGAAGGGGTTCCAAAGAATCATCAGGAGGAGGAGCAAAACCGCCATGTTGAGCAGCCGTCAAGAAAGGAGCGTCATTGTCAAATCGAGAGTGCTCCAAGACCATGCGATAAAGACCCTCATCTTCATCAACAGTGTTGCTAAAAAACCACTGGATACTGCTTATGGACCGCATATACAAATCACCATGGACACCTTGAGCCGCCCGCATATAATCCAATGCCAACTGGAAGCTGTGAACGACAACATTGAGATTCTCAGAATTGGGACCACAACGAAGGAAGGCGACCACAGCTTCAATAATCACCCCAATGTAACGGTGGTGATGAAGGACTGTGGCAGGATTGGAATGGTAAAGGTGATGAGCGAAGGTGGCGACATAGCAGAGGTCCTCACAAGCCTTGTTAAGATCCCCTTTGAGTTGTAAAATAGGGGGCAGAATGACCCCGTAATAACCCTCATCAGGGTATTCCTTAATTATTTGGTCAGCAAATGCTGCACAACCGTGGGCACGATGGACCTCCTCTTGCAACTCCTCCACAAGATGATGTTGACGTGTTGCCAAAGCATTAGATCCGTGAACAAGACCTTGTTGGTGCAGCAGGGTGGCCGTCAACTGTGAGTTCTTGCGAGTAGAGGTGGATAGCTTCTCCACAGCAACTTTCCACTTCCTGGTGGCATCTCGAAGGTCTTCCTGCACTTTCCAGAAACACTCCAAGAGACTCTGAAAAGAAGGGTCAAACAGGGAAGGAAAATTAGAGGAAAATTAAGAACTAACTCGACCAGGAGCCTTCAGTAGGGCCTCATTTAGAGCAAGGAACTGATCCAACACACGTCGGTACTCCACTTTGTGCTCGAGGACCTCACGGCTAGAAGACCGCAGCTGCTCCACTTCTTGTTGTCAAGATTCGAGAGCATGTGAAGTATCCCGAAGAGCAGAGGTAAGGGAGGAATTCTCCCACTGCGAGTCAGCAAGCTGAGACTCCAGCAAACGAACCCGAGCAGCAAGACACTAATTTTCAGCACGGTAGGGGTGAGCGGTGAAAGTGCAAGGTACCAAGGTGGGATGAGGAGTGGGAGGCATATTGGAAGAAAGGAGGTCTTGTCCGGCACCCTTTATAGGTGTTCGGGCGGAAGAGGAAGAAACGGCTTGTTGAACCAAACCAGAATGCGCTTCCGCAACAGCTGCCAACCAAACCAGATCGCTGGGACCCTGCATTGGCAGGTCCCTGTGAGGTACCTCCATTAGGGAAGGGGAGGTGCGAGGGGGAACAGGAATGGAAGTGGAGGCTACAACCAATTGACCCAGGGGAACCACCAATTGGATGCAAAGGGGAGATTCCGGAGTCGCCTCTGCCACAGGGGACTTACGATGAGAACACTTTTTGGGAGCATCTGACCAAATCTTTTTGCTAGAGGGACCAGCCACAGGCAAAGGGGAGCAGTTGCGCTTACATTTAGCTGTGATGGCTGCCTCATCCTGTTGCAAGGCGAGGAATTTCTGCAGCTCTTGCTGGTCAGCATCAGCAGTGTCCCGCTCATCCAGCATATTCAGCTCTAGGAGGGTCAAAGTAGAAGAAGTACGTGCATGAAGCGCAGTGTCGTATTCACGCCAGACACTCAAAGGAATACCCCACGTTGATTGATGTGTGGGAGCCCCGTGGAGCTCCAAGAACCTACAGCTGTATGCAAGATCTTGATTACAGCGACGAGCAAAATACCAATATCGAAGGATCTTCCCCAGACTACAAGTCTTCTTGGCAGAGCAGTTACGAGGCTGTAGTTTACGGAAGTATCGTCCTTATATACGCCGCTCCATACAATTTTGATTTCCTTTTATGGTAGTAGTTTTGCCTTATTTGGCCAAATGTAACACTGAGTTGAATTGTATTGATTTCTTGTGACTGGCACGGGATATCACGGGACTGTCACCCTCTGTCACAATTACTTTTTCTCATCTCATTTGGTTATTCCCTGTTACTCCATATGTAGATAGTTTAAGTAAATTTACTTTTATTCTGCTTTTCTCAAAGAATCAATGTCGGCGCCTGAAAGGCGCCCCTGTTTTTTTGATTCCATAATATTTAATTAATATTTAATAACCCACAAGGAAGGAGCCGAGTTTTTGCCATGCATGGTAGTGCAGTGGCCTACAATCGCATGTTGGTACATTGAGGGGAGTTTGGCAAAACCTTGCATTTACCTGGGGTCTTTGAACAATTGGTACAAGAAGAAGCTACCTTTGCTAGAAGAAGCCACAACGGATCGTCCTGACAGTAACCCTCACCGCCATGATTATAAATCACCCAATAAGGGAATAACAATCAATGTGACTACTGTCCAAAGGATCCCTTATTGACCAATAACAAACTTTTGTACGGATAACGTAAATCACATGCATTCCTATCCTTCTACCCCAAATATTTAGTGTAAATTTTTTTCAGATGGGTCAATACATGTTTTCTATATCTAATTAGATTTGGGATAGACAAGTTCATTGGTTCATTCCGAGGTGCAACTACATTTGACTGTGTAAAGGACCTGGGAATGACTGTATGTTGTTTATTGTTTATTGTTCAACTTTAATTTACTGCTTAGCTCTATAGACTCATCCCAAGTTCCTGGACTGGAAAACTTGAAACTTAAAAGCTGGGGTGTTGGATAGGGGCTCATGTCCTTCACGAGGAGAATGTTGTTGAGGAGGAGAATGTAACACACATCACAGTGTGTTAGGAGAGCGAGTATGTTATGTTATGTATGTAGTCGGATGGGTTTTGAACGAAGAAAATCTGCCTTTATAAAAACTGCCTTCACAAAAACAGCCTTTACAAAAACTGCTATTACTTATAATTCTCTCAACATCACTCAACCTCACTCAACCTCACCACATACGTACGTTTATATGTTCGATATCTATATCTAACCTTTAGTAGTAGCTTCTTAGTAACAAGCTTTCAACAAATGAGATGCTTTGGCATATTATGTGCCTCCCTCCTATACCTCCTATCCCTTTATTACTCCTCCCTCCTATCCCTGTATCACTCCTCCCTCCTCTGTGAGCCTCCCTCCTATCCCTCCTATTATGTATGTATGTAGGATTAAAGATGCACATTAACGGTTTCTATAATGATCCAGCGAAGGTGGTACATAAGGGTCCATAGAAGGAGACAAGCCGAGACAAGCCGAGACAAGGCAAGCCTGTATACACCCTCCGATAGAACTTCTCACTTCTTATTTCTATCGGAGGGAGTATACACCCGCTCGAAGGTGTGAAGCCGGAAGGTGTGAATGAATTCGATAGAAGGATAGACAGACAGATGAACAGATAGATGGATAGCGGGAATGGAATGGAAGGAGTACATACATAGGAGGGAATACGTGTTTGTGTTAATTTAAGTCTTAGGGGGTACCCGGAAACTGTCCTTATCGCGTTATCGTCTGTTATCGTAGGTGTTAAGTAGTTACGTTGTTGAGCACGTTGAGCACGTTGATGGGTTGAGGTAAATGACATCATTCATGACATCGTTCATCTTACCAACAACAACAACGAAAAAGGAAAAGGATAGCGTGAGAAGAAAGAAGAGAAGATGGAAGACGACCACCAGCACGAACACGACCAGCATACAACGCACCGCGACCAGCACACACGAGGAAAGTTTTTCATGGAGAACACAGGGTCTGATTCGGAGGTGGAGAGTATGTCTACGACGAGGGTGGGTAGGAGGAGTGGTACACCTACTACTCCAACTCCAACTGCTACCACAGCTCGTCGACGTAGCTTCCCAATCCCTATTCCTCCCGAAACACGAACAACCGAAGGAACCCGAACAACCGCCTCCCCACCCCCACCTCCCTCCTCCTACACCTACCCCTTCCAGCCGTATCCCTTCCAAGCGTATCCAGGGAACCCGGATCCTGGTACTCCGATTCCAAACACGGGGTACTATGGGGGATACTCGAGACGCTCGTCGTCGATGGAGAGTCTGAGTGTGCGGAGGAGGTCGGGTGGGTTCTCGGAGGAGTCTGCGCATTCTAATTCGGGTGTGGGTGTGAATCCCCCTGCGTCGTTGGGGCATGGGGAAGAGGAAGTATTAGGGAGACCCGTGGCGCCGTTCATGACTAACGGAAGAGGAAGGTCCCCGAGGAACACGTTGTATAGGAACTCCGCTGCTGCTGCGACGCTGACCACCAAAGGGTCTAGTCAGAACTTGAGCGAAGGGACGACATCGAGACCGGGGAGTATGATATTCCGAGCCCCGTTTTTGTCTCCTGCATCGAGGAACTCGTCGACTGTGTGGACTCCGCCTGCGTATACACCTCAGCAGGCACATCCACATTCACAGCAGCATCAGTCAATCTCCCCATCAGGGTCAACCACCGCTCTTTCCTCACTAGTCCGCAAAGGCAAACCCCCTGTCCCCTCCACGTTATTACCAAACGGCAAACTCACCAACTCCGACAAACCCTGGCTGGGCGCTCCCCACCCCAGAGACCGCCTCGCCAAGATCCTCACATACGGATGTATCCTCCTCGGACTCGCCGGTGCCGCTCTGCTCTGTTTCTTCGATCTGCGAGGTCTGGATTTGTTGGATGAGTCCCATCTATGTGTGGTGTTCGAGGACGATTTCTCCGGCGACGCGTTGGATACGGGGAATTGGAAACGCACGGTTGCACTAGGGGGGTTCGGGAATGGGGAGTTTGAGATTATGACGAATAAGGATGAGAATTTGAAGATCCAGAATTCGAACCTCTATATTATTCCGACGTTGACGAGTGCGGATATCGGGGGGACGTCAAGTATCTTTGATGGATATACGTATGATTTAGGAGACGCGTGTACGTCTACCAACACTTCCCAATGTTCCGTTACCTCTTCCTCCAACACCACGTCGGTGATCCCCCCCGTTCAAAGCTCCATGATCTCCACCAATGGAACACACAGCATCACCTACGGGCGCGTCCAAGTCCGCGCCAAGCTCCCCCTCGGAGACTGGCTCTGGCCTGCCATCTGGATGCTTCCCCAAAACAACACTTACGGCCCATGGCCTCTCTCCGGTGAAATCGATATCATGGAAGCACGAGGCAACGCACCCACCTACCCCGCCCAAGGCACGAATTTCGTGCGTTCCTCCCTCAACTACTCCCCCCTCCCTTCGTCGTTGCTGACGCAGATCTTTGGATGGTGGAGTATGAAACAAGGCGGCTTCGACCGCGGGTTCCACACGTACACTCTCGAGTGGAGTCCCCAGTTCATACGCATGTATGTGGACTCCCGTCTTCAAGCGATGGTGGAATTGGAGACCAAGACCCGTTCACAGTCGTTTTGGAGTAAAGGGGGGTACCCTGCTGTTGCGATGAACGATGTCGGTGCAGAGGTTCCTGTTACCGACATCTGGGGGAGTGGGGACGGTTCTACCTCCTCTACTTCCGGTTCCGGTTCCACCGATGCACCCGACTCCGACGATAACAACAATTGGTCCGCACCTTTCAACCAAGAGTTTTATCTAATCATCTCGTTGGCGGCGGGTGGAACGTCCGGGTGGTTCCCGGATAATGTCGGGGGGAAACCGTGGGCGGATGGGGATCCGGGGGCGATGAAGGCGTTTGCGGAGGCTCAGGTGGGTGTTTGTTTGCTTTTCTTTTTTTTTTCTGTTTCGTTCTTCTTTCGTTCTTTACTTGTTTCTTTCTTTCGTTCTTTACTTCTTTCGTTGCCTTCCCTTTCTCTTCGTTCGCTTTCTCTGCGTTGATCTACGTCCTGTGTTGCGTTTGAGTTCGAGTTTGTTTGAGTTTCGTTCGAGTTTCGTTTGAGTTTTTTCGTTCGTTCGTTCGTTCTTTCGTTCTTTCGTTCTCCTTCTTTCCCCTCTTCCCCCTTCTTCCCCCTTCCTTCTCCCCTTCTTCTTCTCCCTCCCCCTCTTCCCCTCTTCTCCCCTCCCCCTCCCTCTCTCTTCCTTCTTCCATATCACCCCACCCTACCCCACCCTAACTAACCCCCTCCCTTCCCCTCCCTTCCCCCTTCCCGTTCATAGGACACATGGAGCGCCACCTGGCCCACGAGCGAGGACGATCGCGCGATGAGGGTTGATTGGGTTAAGATGTGGAAGATGTGTTGATGTGTTGAGCCTGAGGACGAGGACGAGGACGAGGGTGGGGGTGGGGGTGGGGGTGCAAAAAAGGGGAGAGGGTGGGGAGAGGGGAGAAAGAGGGGGGAATCACGACGTTAGTTCAGGATGCGGACAGTGGATCGTGGATAGTGGATCGTGGACAGTGGATATTGGATAGTGGACAGAGAACAGTGGATAGTGGACTCAGATAATAGTCGTTCCAGATTCGGATTTCGTATTCGAGATTTCGTATTTGGATTCAGGATTCGGGTTTCAGGATTCGGGTTGATATATACCACGTACGAGATACACTTATAAGATACGGATACAGATACACGTTCCACCTATATATATATACCTTTCTTCTGTGCCCTTTTTTCTCTCTCTCTCTTTTCCTCTTTTCTTCTCTTTTCTTCTCTTTCTGTTGTGCTTTTCTCTCTCTCTCTTTTTCCCTCTCCTCTCTCCTCTTTTCTTTCGTGCTTTGTTTCCAGGACCCTCTTTCATACATACCCCACAGTCCCACAGTCCCACAGTCCCACAGTCCCACAGTCCCACAGTCCCACAGTCCCATAGTCTTCTTTCTTATATATATTACCCACAATCTGTGATATACACCCCCACAATCTGTTATATACTACATACTACATACTATGTACTATGTAGGTAGGTAGTATACCCAATCCATATATCCATATATATATAATCTATCATGAATTTCATATTAATTTCTTCTTAGTCTGTAATGACAGTAGAGCCATTGAAAATATATATATATATATATACATATATATATCTCCCCTCATCCATGTATATGATGAGGCAGTCCAAGCCACAATGCAATATACACTTTTTATCACATCACATTTAATAGCAAGCCTCCCAAGCCAAAGTGAGTACCCAACCCCCTCCCTCAACCAATTCTAAAGCTCCCCAAACAAACAAACATGTCAACTGTTTCGGTGATCCCAACCTCCTCAACACCTCCCTTAAGCTCCTTACTTCCTCCCTTGAGCTCCCTACTTGCTACCCCCAAATACCAGGACCTTAATTGTAAGCAACGTCAAAGCTCTGCATGTCATCCACTCTTGTATTGCTTCTCCATTGTCACCTCCTCCACCGTTTGGGAACACCAACCTCCACTTCCTCTCGTTCCGGAACCTCCCTCCCAGGTTCCCTATTTTGCATTAGGAACTCTCACCCCCATAGGGCTTATCCCTTGATAGCCTCAAACAGTCTACATTGACATTCAGAGTCCTCACAGCTCACATCCTTCACCTGTCCTAATGCTTTCCACTTCTCAGTCGTCATCTCATGCGGGCTATTGTCCCAGGGACACCTCCCTGGATCTCTCAAAAACCCCTCCAAGGGTCACACATTCCGTTTCCATACTACTACCAGGTCATTCCAGTCCTTGGTCATGGGTTCCCATAGCTCCCTAAGGGTCAAGTTTGAGCTCCAGCTTGCTCCTAGCACACTCTACAACATAAACTACTTATACTTGTACCAATTATACCTACAAGACCCCAATTCTCACCCCAGGTCATACAGAACTGCTCATAAACTCTTTAGAAATATTTTCAAGGGGCAAGTTTTCCTTGCCCCATCAGCTGCTTCAATTCAGTAATCCTATCCACTTTGTTCTCTAGATTAACAAGTAAGTGTGTGTGTGTGTGTGTGTGTGTGTGTGTGGCTGGTCTGCAAGGGGGGCCTTAGTGCTTTAGGTACTCTGAAATACCTAGTGATTAATGGGAGGAGGTGAAATATAATATATTCTCCACTTACCTCCTATAGGTGAATTCACTCACTTTGGACTGACTGTCTTTAAAAAGTGCTGAGGGTTTTGAAACAATAAAGAGAGTGAGATGGAGAAGCAGGCATGCATGGGCTGGATTGGAGCCATTTCTGGGTGTTATAATGAGGTTCTAAGTGTTGGAGGAGTTTATTGAGAATCCTCTTGAGCATGACCTAATAGAGTTGTGTTGTAGTAAATCTTTGAGAATAGGAGGTCAAAAAAAAAAAAGCAAACCCTGCAAAACACTTGAGAGTGAGAGTGAGTTTCTCTGAAAAACTCTTGGAAATGATTAGGGAAGCTGAGAATTCCCTACATGGGAGAAGTGTGTTAGTAATAACTTGGATTTCCCAAGACATAAATAATACTGTACATGTTTGCAGAGTCCTATATAGATGACTACTAAGCTAATGTTGATGGCAACATTAGAATGTGCATATTGTTCAAACAGAATAATGGACAGATCATCCAGAGTTTGGAGGAAAGGATCTGAGGATTGGTGTGGTGTGATGCATGTGGCTGGTGTTCTTTTGTGTTTTTCAAGGGCAGAATTAGCTTTTTGCACCATACTTCTCCATCCACCCCCTTGAGTAAGAGGATGAAACTTGGGGTATAATGAAGCATTATGGAGTAGGTCATAACTTTAAGTATTCTGTGCCACTTACAGATCTATCTCGGTGCTTTTCTGTTCCCAAGTTGAGGAGCCCATGTTCCTTATCTCTTACTAGGTGCAAGAGGTTGATATGGAACAGTGGGTGGCATATAAATAGCCATTGCCATTGTTGCTCAGTGAAGGTGGTTATAGTCCAAGGTTTATTCAAGAATCTTCTCCACATCTTACTATCAGCTCTTTCTCGGAGTTTAGTAAATATAACTGTTGCAAAAGGCTGAAATATCTGGGTGAGAATGAATTCAAATGGGAAACAGAAGTCCTAGCACACTTGTAAGGTTTGATCATCCTCCTTTGTATCTGTGACTACCTTTGAAAAGAACAGAGAAAATGCCTGGTTTTTGGCCCTGAGCCATGGGGGGACTGTGAGTGACATGAGTGCAGAGAAAAAGAAAAGCTGTTGTTGGTTATGTAACATCAAGTGGGATTTTCCGCTCTAATGGCACAGCCACTAGTCAGGGTGGCATAAATCCGGCGCTAAAGCTCAGAATTCTGAGGTTTAGCGCTTTTTGCACAGCCACGAGTCAGCTGTTTTTTTTTTTGTTTTTTCAATTTTCAATTTCCGCTTTTAATAACACAGCCACTGGTCAAATCCGGCGCCAAAGCTCAGAAATGCAGAGGGTTTAGCGCTTTTTTACACAGCCACATATCACACATGCCAAGCTTGACACATGTCCGGCCATATTCTTTTTGCTGCGCATGCTATGTGTATTGATTGTGGAGTGAAATACAGAATAAGAAGAACAATTCATAGAAATAGGTATGTAAATATAAGGATGATGGAAGTGAGTGATGTGTAACCTTTCTTCTGAGCAAATTTATACCAGATGCAATATTTTATATACACACAGTACACACAGCAGATAGATATACATATACATCTCTTATATATATATAAGATACACTGCTTTTCTCTTCCTTTTTTCTTATTTTTTCTCATTTTCTGCCTTTTTCTTTTTCCTACTTTTGGCCTCAGTTTCAGCCTCAGCTCTTGGTGGTGCTTACTTGACTATGAGAGACAGTGAACTTAACTACAAGAGGTGCTTTATCCGAGTATAAGAGGCACATACTTGACCACAAGCTACTACGAGCAAGAGCGATAATGGGTCTGATGTAGAGGGGTCGACCCAGAGACAATACCTGTTTTTATGGAGGACAGATCTTGCAAATTAGGGGGATTAGGGTCAAGAAAGGGGAAAAAGATAAATTGAAATTGATTGAGAAGGGAGACTTGAGAAAGATAAATTGATTAGAAGGGAGACTTGAGAGGTCCCAACAGGTCTCAAGAGGCTGGGGGCTTATATGAAAAATATTGAAAAAAGTTCATGTACATATGCAGGTTGAGAGACCCATGAGGGAGGAATGGGACTACTCCGCCCCAGGTAACCAAGTGAGTATGGGAACTTGTTGGGCTAGCAATATAAACATACAGTCGAGAATTCCAGTCTAACACATATCCGGAAACATACCCATTCATGGATTCGCAATCTCATCTGCAGAAGAATTAAAGGAATGTGGAATAATGCCATCCTCAATCTATGAATGAGTTGAAAAAGCTGTGCAATCATTAGTCCCCCAAGAAAACAAAGACCGCAATTTGATCCTCACTTCTGAAGTTCACTTTGTGGGCTTGCCTGATAATGTGTTTGAGATTTGTTTGACTTGGAACGGGCAAGGTATGGATGTGTATCATTTGAAGATCAATAAACAGGGGAATGTGGTTCCTGATTCATTGAGCGTGAGTTTTACATGCACCCCCATTGGTGTTTTTGTTTACCCCCCCCCCTTCGTTGTCATTGTTAGACTAATTGCTACCAATTTTTTTTGTAATAGCATTTCGACGCTGGGAACGAATTATCATGAAAAAGTGATTTATTTCATTTTGGCACGGAAACCTCTCTTTGAATGGGTTATTATGTATCTCATATGGTTCTTCGTTTCATTTATTACCATATGTAATCTGTTTGGTGTTGTTTTGTCTTTGTAGTTAGACAATCCCAGAACAATTCTACTTCTCCCTGAAATGCACATTCTATGTATCAGTGCAACCTGGTTCAGGGGACTCCCTCCAGTGTGTGACTCTCTGTTGCCTTCTGGGCTCTGATCTTGGCCTTTGCTAACTTTATTCCGCCGTCCTTCCCTGAATTTCATCCCCGAAGTTCTTTGTTTCGGGTTTGTGCAATAGGGATGGCACCAGTCCATATATGCTGCTTTTGTGAAGCACCTAGTATCCCTGTATAGGGCACAGAACATTTGCAGTACCACTTGCAGTGACATGTGCAGGGGTATTGCAGTGACATGTGCAGTGACATGCAGTAGCACACAGTAGCACTGCAGTTACTTAAATGTATATGTAAATAAATGGTCTTCCACTGTACAAAATATACCCATTCTATGAATGCTGTGTCCGACAACAGCAGATAGTATAATGGCCCGGAGGGGCTGAATATCAAAATCGGATAGTGATCTTATCATTCCGCCCAGCCCGCTGCCAGGCTTCTTCTCGATGCAAACTTTCTGTATCTTGTATCATTAGAGCTTTGGCTTTGTAAATAATATCCTCTTGTACCAGAATATGATACTAGCTGGTGTTCACAAAGCTGGCCTTATTCCTAATTTCACCATCAATGATTTGGATGGACATTTCGGATAACCAGGGTCGAAAATTGATGGGTTATGAATTTATTATAAGTAGCCACTGCATTGCGAGGAGATTTATTTCGCCCCCATCAGAAATATTTACTACACCAAAGTTTGAAATTGCTTCCAATGTCTTTTTGGACAATGAACTTGGTATACAGGCATTTGACTTCAAGCATCATACTTGTTTATTCACAGCTTTCATATGTAGAGCAAAATTCGGCAGGGAATTGCCTCTTTCATTAGCCCTAGCCCTACTACAGAGGCACACTTTACCCAAGAAATCCAAAGTAATGTGCCCAATAATTGTATGTTTGTATTCTGGCAATTCTAATCATTCATTCACTAACCCAAATCTATTTAAGCATCAAAAGCAGTCCATGCTCCACCTCCTACTATTCCTGGGCACATGAATACCATTACAACCAATCAGCACATGGTCTCATCACAATCACAACTTCCTTTTTATCATACCTCCAACTATATGCACTCCACACTTCCACTTGTGTCTCGTCCACAAATCAATGGTCAATATTTCATGGTCCCTCCTTCCAACTTTACACCAGCAATTCCATATTATCCTGTTTCAGGTTCCACTCAAGTACCAACTTTGCTTCCATCCCAAACTACCAACCAGCACCATTTGTCTAGTGAACAGCAGATTGCAAATCAGATCCCAATGGAGGTCCATTTGCCTTCCCCCACTTTAGACAAAAACACACTTCAATTGCAGACACATCTTTCTCCTGAGAAAAATCAGACCTTGGCATTCACCCCTACTTTCTCAAATCAAGTGGGCTCTGCTCAACCTGATATTCCCTTGACAGGCCCTTATGTCAACAGGGACACCCAATATGTCTGTTTGAGTGATCTTCCAGAGGGAAAATGGAATACCACTCCACAGGGGAACTTTGCATTGGATGTTTCCCATTCAGAGTATGAAGGTTCAGGAAAATTTCAGGTGGATTGGGCCTGCCAAACCTCCTCTGGAAGGAAACGTAAAGGTGCCTCATATGCTTCTTCATATTTGGAGAATGGCCATAGAACCTACCGTCAATGTCTTGGCACTATTCATTGTGGAAACAAAGACTGTGCAGTTACTATACGTCCTCATACCCATACTCGTGCTGCAATCCTGAAACAACTCAACCATTCCTGCAAATGTGGCAACCGGGAACTCATTCATAATCCATGTCCAAATAAAGCTGCAATCATACAGTGGTCCGGTGGTGTCCGATATATGAATGGAATCCATGACCACAATCATGAAGTTCCTTCATACAAACTTCATCTCACCCAGGATGAGACAGCAGAGTTTGTCCAATTTGTTAAAAGTAATCCCCAGGTGGCACCAGCAGCTCTGATCTCTGGCAATACTGTTGATGGAAAAACAGTGACTGATATATCTTCTGTGCTCATTCATGCTCCTCGTGTTGGCCGAATGCGGAATCAAATACTGGGACAAGCAAAAATCAAAGGTGGAGATGATTTCATAGAAGCTTTTATGCACTTTCAACTGGAGCGACCTGGCTTTATTGTTGCAAACACTATGCTTGGTGGGGTCACAGTCATTTCAGCACAGACTCCATTTATGGCATCTCAGCTTCATGATGAGGCACTCCAGGTGGATGGTCCTTTCAATGGGATTATTTCAGATGCTGCACATGGCTGGTGGAAAGTTCAAACATCATTACTCATCATCAGCTCTGTCTTTTCCCAAATCCTTCTCCGCTGGATTCCAGTCCTTATCAGCTACTCAAATGGTGCAAGTGCAGCTCACTATGAATATCATTTCCTTGCCTTGTTTGAATCTATTGCACGAATTGTAGGTGAAAGGAATAAGACTCTTGTTGATGAGCTTCTTGCTGGGGTATGTGTAATCTATACTTTATACTTCACATAATCTCAATCATAAAATTTGATCCTAGGTTGTTGATTTTAGTGAAGCAGAGCGAACTGGTTTTGTCAATGCCTTTGTCCGGTTTTGGCTGAAGCACACCAACCTTCGGGATGAAAGTGAACTTCGAAAAAGGGGGGATGAGCTTTTGCGTGGCTGTTTACAACATTTCCAGCGTAGTATAACTCGAGTTAAGCGGATTGCAGCAATTGTTCCTGTTGAGCAACAGTTGCACTTTGCTAAAAAGGTGAACAGACTCTTGCAAGCCAAAGATTCCAATGATTTCAATCAACTGGCAAAAACTCTGGAGGCAGATTTTCCCAAGATCAGGCCATGGCTTCATTGGTGGTTGCGTCCGGAACATGCTTCGATGCTTTTTCAAGCTAAGCGTAACATGGATCCTTTGCTTTGGCATTCACTTCCTGAGACCACAAATGCTGAAGAGTCTATTCATTTTAGCATGTATGCACAACAAGGGCGCAAACATGCATTTTTTGCAGGCTGGGAGGCACTTTGGAAGATAGTTCAAACTTATGAAAAATTATTTAATGCTGAACGTAGTAAGTTACAAATATGTTATCATAAGACTTCAGTTTGCTGATTGTTTCTCTAGTTGGTCAACCAACACATTGGGGCAAACCACCATTACATGTCCGTCAAGCATTGAAAGCAAAGATAGGCCGTACTAAACGTTCACGTGCCCTGAAAGCTATCAAAATACGAAAACAGCAGTATCATAATGATGGTCGACCCCCAGATGATAACCGTCTGTTGCGTCAAAAATTAAACTCTAAGGCCAAGTCATCACTTATGTCATGCCTCGCCCCAAATTCCATATCCCATAAGCT